TTTGGTAGCATAGTGGTTACAAGTTGGACTGCTAATCTCATGGTCAGCAGTTCAAAACTACCAGAGGTTCTGAGAGAAAAAGATGAGGCTTTCTTCTCCTGTAAAAAAGATTTACAGCTTCAGAAACCCTATACAGGGTCACTATGGAGTCAGATATCAGAAAGTCATTTGCACGCACACATTACAGAGTAGTACATGTGTTATGTCGTGTTGTCTCTGGAGTTTTTATAGAAAACCGAAACAGAGAGACACAATAAGTTGTCTGAAGTCACACAGTAACTTAGCAACAACTTAGGCAATGGGATCCAAATTTCCTGGCTTAGCTAATTATACCATCTATTGTATCAAGTTGTTTTCCTAATGTATAGAAAAAAAATAGTACTGGGAGGCATGAAATCTAACTATTCTAGACTGAATTTTTGTAAAACACCTGGGAAGCAGGCCCAGAGCAATGGAGACATCTGAGACGTCCCTAAGTATTATTTTCAAAGGTCTAATAGAACAGACACTCTCTAAGACATGTTTAGAAAGAAATATGTGACACCAGATGGTAGGTCACACGGTTGAAATATAAGGAAGAACAGTTTGGGAATGCTTTCAAATGCTCAGAAACAAAGTACATCAGAAAGAAGTTATTAAATCTTGTGTGTGTGCGTGTAATTGGGATGCAAATGTATTTGGAGTGTAAACCTATGGAATGTTGCTGTTGTCAGATGCCATCGAGTCGGAACCAACTCATAGCGACCCCATGCACAGCAGAACGAAACAATGTCCGATCCTGGGCCAACCTCACTACCACTACTCAAGTGCTGCCACACTTGAGTCCATCAATGATGCCACCTGGCCAATCCATCTCATTGGGGTCTTCCTCTTTTTCTCCTACCCTCCATCTTACCAAGCATGATATCCTTCTCCAGTGACTGTTCCCTCCTGACAATATGTCCAAAATATGAGAGACGAAGTTTAGCCAGCTTGGCCTCTAAGGAGCACTCTGGCTGCACTTCTTCCAAAACAGGTCTACTGGTTCTTTTGGCAGTCCATGGCACTTTCAGTATTGTCCTCCAACACCACAATTCAAAGGCATCAATTCTTCTACGATCTTCCTTATTCACTGCCCAGCTTTCACATCCATATGAGGTTATTGAAAATACCATGGCGTGGGTAAGGCACACCTTAGTCCTCAAGCTGACATCTTTGCTCTTCAACACTTTAAAAAGTTCCTGTGCAGCAGATTTGCCTAATACAATACGTCATCTGATCTCTTGACTGCTGCTTCCGTGAGTGTTGATAGTTGATCCAAGAAGAATGAAGTCCTTGACAACTTCAAGCTTTTCTCTGTTGATAAAAATGTTTATTGGTGAGGATTTTTGTTTTCTTGACATTGAGATGTAATCCATACCAAAGGCTATGCTCTTTATCTTCATCAGTAAATGTTTCATGTAAGTCCTCTTCACTTTCAGCAAGCAAGGTTGTATCATCTGCATATCGCAGGTTGCTAATGAGTCTTCCTCCAATCCTGACGCCATGTTTTTCTTCATAAAACCCAGCTTCTCGTATTATTTGCTCAACATACAGGTTGAATAAATATGGTGAAAGAACACAACCTTGTCGCACACCTTTCCCAATTTTAAAACATTCATTGTTCCCATGCTTAGTTCGAACAACTGCTTCTTGGTCCAGGTACAGATTTCTCAGAAGTACAATTAAGTGTTCAGGAATACTCATACTTCACAATGTTGTCCAAAGCTTGTCATGATCCACACAATCTAAAGCCTTTGCATAGTCAATAAAGTATAGGTAAACATCTTTCTGATATTCTCTGCTTTCAGTCAATGGAGTACCATTGCTTAAATATTCATAATGGAAGAGTAATGACAAGTATTTCCATTAAGAGTTTGAAATATGACATGCAGGTATTGCCCTAAATTCTTCCAAGTAAGTGTAGTCTTGATGAAAGACTTCCATGAAAGTACTTCACAACCACAACAGTAACATAAAGCAAAATCCCATTGCTTTGGAATCCATTCAGATTCCTAGGCACCTCTAGAACAAAGTGAAACTACCCAATAGGGTTTCCATAATCTGGATGGAAGCAGATTGCCTTAGCTTTCTCCCTTGGAACAGTTGATGAATGTCAACCCAGACCTTTCAGTTATTATCTGAATGTTTAACCACTAAACTTACAGTAAAGGAGATTATAAATGTCTCTAAACCTCATTCCAAGAAAGTGTTTAATTCACATCTTTCAATTTGCATGAACAGCTTTTCTATAATTTATAAGTATGTGCTTTTTAGAAATACTCTAGAAAAAATATTGCTGAATGTATTGGTTTGAATTGCTTACTAACTTTACTGAGGGGAGGAACAGTGCAGGATATGTTCAGAAATGTAATATTCTACTGATATGTGAGGGACATACACCTTACAACAGTGCTTCCATATAAAAACATCCATTGTAAGTAGAGACAGATATATAAAAGAGTCCCTGAAAATTAAAGACAGTTAAGGAAATAATTACAAAGAGTTAGAGCTGCAGGTTAACACGCTGGACTGCAAGGTTGATTTCAACCAGAAGGTTGGCAGTTTAAGTTCACCAGCTGCTCTTCAGAAACACTATATAGGGTAGCTGTGAGTCAGAACTGACTAGATGGCACTTAACAACAACAACAACAAATGTCAGTTTTAGTTGGACTATCTTACAATATAGCAAACCAAACCAAACCCATAACCTTAAGAGTAAAACTGCCCCATTGGATTTCTACAGATATAAATGGGCAGACTGCCACATCTTGCTTCCATAAAGCTCAAAAAGCTGACCTTCTAGTTACCCAGAGCGTAACCACTGTACCACTTTAAAATACAGCCCTTGTGTCTTATCCTTACAAAAGAAGGTAAAACTAAGGAAAGAAAAGCTTATATATCACCAAAATAAAGGCGAGTGATCTTAACCTATTGGAATAGCATGATCCTCCAAGAAGTATGCACCCTCCTGCTGTGGCATCTGTATAGATACAGAATAAATTAAGATTACAGACTCAGCCTGAACATACTATCACAACTGACTTATTGCCTAAATCTGGCCATGTGCCCCAAACTCCTGGAAGCTGTGGCTATTGTGTGAAGACTTAAATTAACCACACTCCAGAGCAGTTTGCTGTGATTCTTGGAATCAGATACAGCTCAACTAAAGAACATCTAAGTTAATATTTATCAATTATAGGAAAAGTTCATCTGTAGGGAAGAATTGGCAGCTAAAAAGTCAGGAAAGGAAAATCCTACTTCCCTGATTAGGGTTGGCTTATTGGCTGTATAATGCCTTAGATCCAGGTGTGTGTTTGTACCACAATAACAGCACTCCACTTTCACTGTAAAGAATACAAAGGAGCTGATGTGATTGCCACATTCATATTAGAGGAATTTTTGCTTGTGAACTCCATGCAGTCTCATTTCTACAGTAACAAGCAGTTGTACACATCAGGTATTTTGATGCATTCTGCTTTAAATATTAAAAATTTTAAATGTTTTTCTTAAATAATTTTAAAAAATACTTACCTGTAGGCTAAGCATTAGACCACTGACAGGAAGGTATGTGGTTCAAACCCATCAGCCAGAAAACCATGAGACTGTCTACTGTAAAGATTTATAGTCCCAGAAATCCTGAATAGAATAACTATGAGTTTGAATCCCCTTGATGGCAGTGGGTGCCTCTTTAATATTTTGGACTCTGTCTCAGGTATTAGCTGAAATGAGGAGACAATAGAATAGTTAAGAAGCAGAACAATTAGCTCAGTCAAGCAATTTATATTCTAGTGTATTGGTAGAAGAGGAAAATAAAAGAGGCTCCTATTGCAAGTATAGGGATGTCAGAGGTTTTTCTCTGATGAAAATGGGAGCTTTTTTTTTTTTTTTTTTTCCAGGTTCAGTCACTGGTCACTTAGCAGGCAGGGTTTTGTGTTCAGGCAGGATTTCTGGTAGCCTAGTGATAAACAGAATCATGCACTATGGGAAAGACCTAGAGATCTTTTTCCATACTTATTTGCCACCCTGCAGTTCAAGAAGTGTTTCACAGTCTTAATGCACTGGAATCTCCCACAGACCTGATTTTATAATAGAGGAAACACAGCCCCAAAGATTCCTGGAATCCAGGTCACACGGCTATTTTGTGTCAGAATCAGTGGAAATATACAAACATTTTACATCATATTCCAGGATTCCTTTAGAAATCACCACTCTTCCTATGTAAACATTCCAGGTAGGGAAATGTTTATGTGTGTGTTAAGAAGCTGGTGGCACAGTGGTGAAGGAGTTGGCTGCATGAATACAGCTGGTTAGCAGGAAAAAAATGTGGCAGTCTACCTCCGAAAAGATTATGATCTTGGAAACCTTGTGAGGCAGATCTACTGTGTCCCAAGAAGTTACAATGAGTGGGCATCCTTTGGGTTGCAGTGGGTTATATACATTTGTGTCTATTCATCACTTGTAAAGTACCCTCGACTTCAATGAATGTCCTGGAAAACAAATAAATAAATAAAGCACCCCTTAGAGAAATATGCTTAAAGTGGTTGCATGCAGAACCACTTGTGTTACAGCACAATTGTTCCGACTTTCCCCCTTGTTTATTGCCCTAGTCCCAAAGCCTTGCTGCCTCTGAACTCAGAGAACCAGGCAGACATCCAGAGTCACTTGCGCCTACAGCTAGGAAGCCGGCAGAAGCTCTGGCTTCATCACCAACAAAGATGATTTAAAATTGGAGCATTTCGAAACCTTTCCCGAAGTCGTGTATTTGCTTTTCTGGTTCACACCACATTGCAAAGAAGTTGACATATCTTCCCTCCGCAGAGGAAAGTGCATTTTCTTTCTGTGAGCAAACATTGCCAAATCCTAGTCTCTCCGAAAAATTGGTGGCAGAACGGGCGTTTGGGGACCGCACCTGTGATTTCTTTGTTGTGTCCCCTCTCTCCTCTGCATGTTCGGATACAAATGCGGGCTTTTTTTTTTTTTTTTTTTTTAATGCCCCTCCTTTGCTCGCAACCTGTAGACGTGAGTTCTGAGTGGTGCTGTGAAGCAGGAGGCTGGCCAGGCGCTCGCTCGGGTGCCTGTCCCGGAGACGCCTCGTCGCAGTCTTAACAGGCAGGTCTCCCATCCCCGCTTCTCTGGCCGGGGTCTGGAAGTACTCACGCATGGGCAAGAAACTATGACTGTGCCCTTATTCTCCCTAACCTTTCTCTTCTCATTAGCATCCGTCCTTAATTGAAGAGCCAGTGACTATTGGCTGAAGTTCCCAGCGATTTGCATGAATTGAGGGAGTGTCTTCTGCCGCCCTCCTGTCAGGAGCGCGCTGACTGCAGCCTCCCTGGGAATGCGCGGTCGAGGGAATGCGCGCAGCTCCAGGGCCCTGGCAGCGAGCTGGCGCCCAGCGACCTGGCACCCGCGCCTGGATATGGGGCATTTACAACGTCCCAGGAGCAGTACCAGCCACAGGAACCTGCAGGTAAGGGTTGAGGTCCAGGAGTCCCAAGGCCCGACAAGTTGCAATACTGGAATTCACTTCCAATATCTTGGTGGTGTTTCAAACCTTTCACCTTAATTCGAACTTCAAAGGATGGATGGAGGAAGGGAAAGTGAGTTTGGGCTAACGTGTCTTCATTTTAGCAAGAAGTGGGGAAGCCTTTGGGTTGAGAAAGGAAGTTTCTGAAGCAGCAATGGAGACAGATGGGATGGGGGGATGGGGTGCGCTCAATCCACTCTAGATATCGGGGTTGAGAGATCTTTCTGGCTGCAGACATTTGGCTACGACTGTCTACTGAAATTGACAAATTGTTTTTGCATAATCATTTCTGAGTTTACTTCTCTTTCTTTAAGGGAAGGGAATTTAGGAGGTCTTGAAAGGGGATGGGGATACAGCTGCTTTCGGTTTGATTTTTGATGCGTGCTATAATGAAAAGCTCTTATTCAGATCTAAGGTGTTTATTTGTGCTTATGTGTGGGGTACTATTTTTCCATATAATTACTGTTGTTGTAATTGTTATCTTTATTGGTCTCATGGTAGAGGATGTAACACATTTCGCGTTCTAAGACCCTGTTGATAAAACTATTCCAATAGGAGGTCAATGGCCCACCTTTCAGTCCTCTCTACTATCACCCCCTCCCTCCTTAGTCCTGTCCAAGCTGCTTCCCTGTCGCGTTGCGCAGTCCCAGAGAGGAAGTCTTCTCCCCTCCCGCTGGTGTTTTATAGAAATGCTTTATGTTTGAAATTGGGAATGTTAGCTGTATGACGATGGTAAATGAAGAGGGTGGTTTGGGGAGGACGGCACACACAGAAAGTGAACAGAAAAAAATTAAGTTTGGGAGACAGTGCTGTTTCATAGATCTCTCCTTTGCAGCGAGTTTCTTCTTCACCCCCTCAGAGAACAGAATTTGCTCCGAAGAATAGGGATGGGCGCAGCATTGACCCTAGGGGCACTGGTTTCTGACTCCATTCTCTGTGTTTCCCCGTGTGTAATGAGCCTTCTCCCCTCCCCCCACTCTAGCATCTGTTTATGTTTTTCCTCTTCGTGGGACCCTTCAACTGCCTCGCGAGCTACAGCCGGGCTACGGAACTCCTGTACAGCCTGAACGAGGGACTACCTGCCGGGGTGCTAATCGGCAGCCTGGCTGAGGACCTGCGGCTGGTGCCCCGGTCCTCCGGGAGCCAAGACCAGCGACCACAGGCGTCTGAGAGCGCCAGCATTGAGCGGAACCCGCCTCTCTCCTTCAGCCTGGCATCCCGAGGACTGAGTGGCCAGTACGTGACACTGGACAATCGTTCCGGAGAGCTGCACACTTCTGCCCAGGAGATTGACCGAGAAGCCCTGTGTCTGGAAGGAGGAGGAGGGGTTACCTGGGGCGGCAGCCTCTCCATCTCTTCCTCCCCTTCCTCTGACTCCTGCCTTTTGCTTCTGGATGTGCTGGTTCTGCCTCAGGAATACTTTAGGTTCGTGAAAGTGAAAATCGCCATCAGGGACATCAATGATAATGCCCCACAGTTCCCCGTTTCCCAAATTTTGGTATGGATTCCAGAAAATGCACCTGTCAACACCCGGCTGGCGATAGAGCATCCTGCTGTGGACCCAGATGTAGGCACTAATGGGGTACAGACCTACCGATTACTGGACTACCATGGGATGTTCACCCTGGACGTGGAAGAAAATGAAAACGGGGAGCGGACCCCTTATCTTATCGTCATGGGAGCTTTGGACAGAGAGACCCAGGACCAGTATGTGAGCATCATCATAGCCGAGGATGGAGGATCTCCACCACTTTTGGGCAGTGCCACCCTCACCATTGGCATAAGTGACATTAATGACAATTGTCCTCTCTTTGCAGACTCACAAATCAATGTCACAGTGTATGGGAATGCTACCGTGGGCACCCCTATTGCAGCTGTCCAGGCTGTGGATAAAGACTTAGGGACCAATGCTCAGATCACCTACTCTTATAGTCAGAAAGTTCCACAGGCATCTAAGGATTTATTCCATCTGGATGAAACCACTGGAGTCATTAAACTTTTCAGTAAGATTGGTGGAAGTGTTCTGCAGACACACAAGCTCACCATCCTTGCTAATGGGCCAGGCTGCATCCCCGCTGTGATCACTGCCCTGGTGTCCATTATCAAAGTCATTTTCAGACCACCTGAAATTGTCCCTCGGTATATAGCAAGTGAGATAGATGGTGTTGTTTACTTGAGAGAACTGGAACCAGTTAACACTCCAATTGCTTTTTTCACCATAAGAGATCCAGAAGGTAAATACAAGGTGAATTGTTATCTGGATGGGGAAGGGCCATTTAGGCTCTCTCCCTACAAACCATATAATAATGAATATTTGCTAGAAACCGCAAAGCCTATGGACTATGAACTACAACAGTTTTATGAAGTAGCTGTCGTGGCCTGGAACTCTGAAGGATTTCATGTCAAAAAAATTATTAAAGTGCAACTTTTAGATGACAATGACAATGCTCCTGTTTTCCTTCAACCCCTGGTAGAACTAACAATTGAAGAAAACAATGCACCCAATGCCTTTTTGACTAAGCTGTATGCTACAGATGCTGACAGTGGAGAGAGAGGCCAGGTTTCGTATTTTCTTGGAGCTGATGCTCCGTCCTACTTTTCCTTAGACAGTGCTACCGGAGTCCTAACAGTTTCTACTCAACTAGACCGAGAAGAGAAAGAGAAGTACAGGTACACAGTTAGAGCTGTTGACTCTGGAAAGCCACCCAAAGAATCAGTTGCTACCGTGGCTCTCACAGTGCTGGATAAGAATGACAATAGTCCTAGGTTTATCAACAAGGACTTCAGCTTTTTTGTGCCAGAAAACTTTCCGGGATACGGGGAAATTGGAGTAATCAGTGTCACAGATGCTGACGCTGGACAGAATGGATGGGTGGCTCTCTCCGTGGTGAACCAAAGTGATATCTTTGTTATAGATACAGGCAAGGGCATGTTGAGAGCTAAAGTTTCATTGGACAGGGAGCAACAAAGCTCTTATACTTTGTGGGTTGAAGCCATTGATGGTGGTGAGCCTGCCCTATCCTCTACTGCAAAAATCACAATTCTTCTTTTAGACATCAATGACAACCCTCCTCTTGTCTTATTTCCTCAGTCGAATATGTCTTACCTTTTGGTTCTGCCGTCTACTCTCCCTGGCTCCCCAGTTACAGAAGTCTATGCTGTGGACAAAGACACAGGCATGAATGCCGTCATAGCTTATAGCATCATAGGGAGAAGAGGTCCAAGACCTGAGTCCTTTAGGATTGACCCCAAAACTGGCAACATTACTTTGGAAGAAGCATTGCTGCAGACAGATTATGGACTCCATCGCTTACTGGTGAAAGTGAGTGATCATGGCTATCCAGAGCCTCTTTACTCCACTGTCATGGTGAACCTCTTTGTCAATGACACTGTCAGTAATGAGAGCTACATTGAAAGCCTTTTAAGAAAGGAACCAGAAATTAATATAGAGGAGAAAGAACCACAAATCTCAATAGAACCAACTCACAGAAGGGTAGAGTCTGTGTCTTGTATGCCCACGTTGGTAGCTCTATCTATAATCAGCCTGGGTTCCATCACACTTGTAACAGGGATGGGTATTTACATCTGCTTACGGAAGGGGAAAAAACATCGCAGGGAAGATGAAACTTTGGAAGTACAAATTCCACTGAAAGGAAAAATTGACTTATGTCTGAGAGAAAAGAAACCGTTGGATATTTCTAATATTTGATATTTCAGTGTAAGCGACACTTCTTTAACTAATTTTGGATAGTCTTCACTACCGAAACGAGTAGTTGATGGCAGTTCCAATGAAGGACAACTAATTTATAACTTATATTATATTGTAAATAGCTGTTTACAGGTTTTTAAATTCAAATTCAGATGTTATAAGACGTGTACAGCATTTTTTAAATGAGAATTAATACTACCAGCTGTAGAAATGTTTAAAAAATGCTTGGACATCATTTGCAGCTTCCATACACCAAGCAGATGATTCATAAAACCTGAGAGAAAGGTAAGACTATGGTACGTTAGTTTTTTTGTCTAAAAAGTCCTTTAACCACAAGAGGGCATCAGCTGCCCCTTTGCAGGGAATTGTTTGAGGTATTGTACATGACAAGAGTTGTACATGAAATAAATGAAAGAGTATATTTTAAATATATTGTTTTTAGCATTTAACAAATCTGAAATTAAAGTAAGTTTTATTTGCCCTACTTAAATGTATGATAAGAGGGAAAAGAAATGCATTTTTAAACAGAATGTTTATTACCTCATGAGTACATCATGTATCATTTGAAAGAGAAGATATTAAAAAAAATATTTTTTAGCAAGGATAAAAAACAAAACAAAACATTGCTATGTGTTAAAGTTTTTACCTGCTGAAGAGTATTTCATTTCCTCTATACTCAAATTGTTTTCAGTTTGCTTTACCTCCACACTTGCTGTTATTACAGGGGGAAATATATATATTCTTCCTTACAGAAAATGGAACTAGAAATTTTGCCCAGGAAAAACAGCCAGAAGCAAAGATGTGTTTTGATTCTTAGTTGCTTCATAGGTATTCATGACATTATGGTGTTTATATAGCTTGTGAGTAGTACTTTAAACTTGGGTTGCATATTAGATTTTTGTATGCTTAACCTCCTCCATCACTTAAGAAAATAAAAATCATATTAAAACCGAATTATTCTAGAAACTAGTGTAAACTGATGGCCATTTTAGTTGGGCATTTTTAATGAAAGTTATATTTTTATTGTTGTTGAGTTTTGTTGAATACCGTTCTGGCTTCCTTTCTTTGGCTTTGGAGTAAGTCCAAGAGTTTATTTGTAAGCCCAGAAGTAGATTTCTTAGATAACTTATCTTTTACTGAGTCCTTTGTAAAGAAGAAGTCTGGTTCATCAGTGACTGATCACTTGCACTTCATTGTATGAGCTGGAATTTATTTCATATGAGAGCTATCACAAAGTTGTCTGTATAAACAAGGAATGTGTTAGCTTAAACTGGATCATTTACTTTTTGTCATCAAGCGTCTGTATTGAACCAAAAGTGTTTATATGTCTGCAAATTAAAGCTATATATTTTCATAATTTCTTTCTCATTTTTACCATTTTGTATCTGAACAAGGACTTGTCCTTTCACTGAAGTGCCTATTATTGGCATCCATTTGCTTTTAGGGGTAAATGTAGATGAATCCAAAGTTTTCCCTTATGCTAAAGAGTATGTTGAACTAATTTGTGATTCAATTAAATATGGAGAAACTAATAAATATATATGTAATTGTAGGCATGTATGTAATGGAGAGTATGCCTATGTTTGAAAGAAGTCCATAGGAAGATTTACACTTATACATGAGTTTATATATACTGATTTATGATAAATTGAGTATCAATTATAAATATTCATTTAGTACAAATTCTCTCTTAGCTGTGTTACAATAACTTCCAACATTTTAAAAATAAAACTACGATGCAAAAACTATTTTTTAAAGATTTCAAGCAAATGTCTACAACCTTTGAAATTTATATTAACTTCTTTTCTCCTTGTCTTCAGTTTAACTATTTAAGCAAGTACAATAATGAGAATGAAGCACTATTGTTTGTTTTAAAATATATATATATTTTTTCACTTGAAAGTCCATTTATATGAGAAAGACCTGAGATAAGAGAGGATGATCATTTATCCCACAAACTTTGCATTCAAAATGGATTTACAGCAGTGGAGGAAACCAGAGTCTACAAGTCATTTTCTACTTCTTAATTTTCTTTTCTCAAAGAAAGCAACTACTTATGAAACCAGTGGTACTATTAAGAACAAAATAATAATAATTCCCCATAAGTACAATGGTATGACCTACAATTTTATAGCCTATTCATTTCGAAATTTGAAGAAGGTTTATGTGTTTGGGGTAAGAACTTGGTCTTCCGCATGAAAAATGTCTATAACATTAATAAAAGGACATATTTCTGAAGAGCTTCTTGTGGAAAAATTTCCTTTACCAAAACATTTCATTCACATTAAAAACATTTGTAATAAGGGAAAGCTCAAGTAAATGAAGCTCAGCGATAAAAGACCCCTTTTTACTAACACCTTGTGCTACAACAGTTGCCAAGATGTATGCTAATCATATCAATGTTGTTGGTGGAGCTGGCACAGAAATAAATGTTCCATTCATTAAAAGCCCTAATATCCATTTAACAGTTTGAGAACCAGTGAGTCCTCTTTGCTCAATTTAATGAAGGAGAGATTGCTCTGATCTTTGCACTGCCAAATCCATTCTTATTCTACAGAGAAAATCGTTCATTAATTTGAAATAGGAAATTTAAAGTCATCATAGCAATTTTAGCAACAAGGAGAAAACATTTTATGTTATTTGATTATTTAGGTACATTTCCTGATCCTTTTTTTTTTAATTTAAAAAGAAAGCATTCATGTTACTTTAAAAACTATTTTTAAGGTAAGGCTAATTTATTTAAAAATAAAAAAATAATCCAAACTCTTTGAAGTTTGGATGTTCTGCAGAAACAGCAGGATGATTTTTCTATGAAATAACCTCACTAGAAACAACCTTTGAGGTGTATAAAGCTGACTTGATTGCATTGACCTCTGCCATAATGATTCTAATCTGGGCTCCCAGCAAAGTTCTGAAGTGACATTTGGATAAAGGAGAATTAAGCAAGTCTCTCCTCAGGAGACTGAGGTTCTAATCTGTCCTTAGGGAGATGATGACTCTGAGGTCCTGACCTTTGTAGATAACGGAGAATACAAGGAAAACACAGCACTGAGCATTCGGTACTCTTCAATTCCATTCAGCAGCCTCAAGTCATGCAGGCCAGAGTCATAGATAACTGACTATTTCCTTCCTTGCCTAAAGTAGATTTACTCACTGCATGAAAGCTGAGAATTGCTGCAAATGCCATATTGCTGACATGTACAATCTCAGGCTAGTAGTGTGCTTTTTTAACATGGCAAGTAGTCAATAAATACTTATTCAAAGGAAGAGAATCAATAGTCACAGAATAGGAAATTAAATCAATTAACACAATTGGTAATCCCTGACCCCTCTTACCCCCACTCCCTCAAAAAAAAAAAAAAAAAAGACTTCCATAAAGTTTTTCTAGTTTTTTTAAGATTTCTGAAAAAAATTAAAATGAAAAATTATGCACACTTTTCAAATCATACATACATACAAACAGTATGTAATTATTTTCTAAATACCTGTCTTTGAGGTGGCTCCAAAAAGTTGGTGGAAAATGAAATAAAAGATAATGAATTTTTTTTCATAAACTTTTTGAAGCCTTCTAATATATAAGTACCCTGGTGGCACACTGGTCAAAGTGCCTGGCTGCAAACGAAAAGACTGGGGGTTTGGATTCATCAGATGTTCCAAAGGAGACAAATTTGGCAATGTGGGATAAGGCAGTGGACTGCAAGGTTGGCTGGAACCACAAGGTTGGTGGTTCAAACTCACCAGGGTTGCTATGAATTGGAACTGACTTGAAGGTACTTAACATTACTTCCTTAAGGAGTCCTAGTGGGACGTTGTAGGATAAGCACTGGACTGCTAACTGCAAGGTTGGTGGTTCAAACCTACCAGCCACTCCTGTCAAACCCTACTTAGGGTCACTATGAGTCAGAACCAACTCCGGGGTTATTAACAACTTCTTTAAAGATTTACAGTTGTAGAGACCTTGAAAACCCCGTGGTGGAATTATATTCTGTCCTGCAAGGCAACTGTTAGTCAGAATCAATTCTACAGCAGTGGGCTTAGGCCCTCTTATACAATTTTTTTTTACTTAAAATAATAGCATTTTCCCCCTCTGATGAACTCCTATATTGGCAATGTCTTCCTCTGCTTATGAAACAAAATTGGATGAACTTTAAGACTCAAATTCGCTAATGTCAAGAAGACTACTATGATTATATATATATAAAGTTATACAGCAATTTATTTCATACATATTTATTTTATCATTGCTCATTATTTGAATGAGACAGACTCACTTGATGAATTTATATTATGGTGTGGAAGGCCAAAACAAAGTCCTTCATTTTCAAAACAATGTGGGTGATAAATTCTTCTTCAAGATGCCATGGAAATTGAACCTAACTCAGTCTTAGGAACTCAGAGAAGGTATTCCAAATACAGTAATTTCTAATTTGATTCTTTTTCAGAAAAGGTGATATCTAAGCTGAGGCTAGAAAAAGGGAAAGTTGTCAAGGGGAAGTGGGGAGAAAGGAAGTTAAGAGAATCTGAGCAAGTGGGAATAGTGAACAAGGTGCACATATTAGAGTTAGTATGTCATACTTTGTTGTTGTTGTTAGGTGCCATTGAGTTGGTACCGACTCATAGCAACCTTATAAACAGCAGAACGAAACACTGCCCAATCCTGGGCCAAACTCACTATCGTTGCCACGCTTGAGTCCATTGATGTTGTCACTTGGCCAATCATCTCATTGGGGATCTTCCTCTTTTTCTCTGAACCGCCACCGTACCAAACATGATAGCCTTCTCCAGCGACTGGTCCCTCCTGACAATATGTCTGAAGTATGAGAGACAAAGTTTGGCCATCCTGGCCTCCAAGAAACACTCTGGCTGCACTTCCTCCACCCCCAAAATCAAACCTGTTGCCTTTGAATGTATTGTAAGACCCATAGATTTTCCAAATCTGTAATCTCTATCAGGAGTGCTGGTGTGGAGCTGTAGGATAAGCACTGGACTGTTAATCACAAGGTTGGCTGTTTAAACCTACCAGTCGCCCCTTGGAAACCCTATCCAGTATTACTATGAGTTGGAACTGACTTGACAGCACTTAACAACAACAAAAATGGTCTTTATAGAATCAGACTTTCACTTCTGTCTCCCATATTTCCCCCAGAATAGCTTGGTTGGTTGGTTGGCTGGTTATGTGCCGTGTAGTTGGTTCCAACTCATAGCGACCCTGTACAGGGTTTCTGAGGCTGTAAATCTTTAAGGCAGCAGAAAGCCTCATCTTTCTCCCATGGAACAGCTGGGAGTTTTGAACTGCTGACCTTAAGGTTTGCAGCCTGATACGTAACCACTACGCTACCTGAGCTCCTTCCCAGAGTGGCTGGTGGGTTCAAATTGCAGACTCCTTTACCAGCTGAGTATGTTAGTCATTGTGCCAACATTGTGCCTTATGTCATACTTGTTGATGTCATACTTGTTGTTGTTGATAAGTACTGTCAAGTCAGTTCTGACTCATAGCAACTCTATATAGGGTTTCCTATAATCAGTTGGTGCGTTTGAACCAGTGACCTGTGATTCAAACCGACTTTGCGGTCCAGTACTTACCCTACAGCTCCATACCAAGACTTTCATAACTGTTATAGGTCTTCTTGGAGGACTGGAAAGATAAACGTAATGAAAGAGAAATTAAGAATGTGTTTGAGAGGTAAGTGGTTGGCAAATAAAACAAGGGCTCATGTCACACTTGCATATTAGAATTTTGCCTTAAAGTTAGTAGGAATTTTTTACCAGGGAATTTGTGTTTTAGAAAATGATCACTTTGTCTACAGTGTGAAGTTTGTGTTGAAGAAGATCCTGGCGACAGCTTAGAAGATATGGCTTGTTGTTATTATTGTAAAGTGTCATTGAGTTGGCTCTATTTCATAGTATCCCTATATAGGATTTCCAAGGCTGCAAATCTTTGCGGGAACAGAAAGTCTCATTTTTATTTCACTGAGTGGCTGGTGACCTTGTGGTTCATAGTTCAGTGCTTATGCTGCAGGGCAACTGTGTTCTCCAGATGGCAGGGTAGTAGTGACAATTTAAGTGAAAAATGGAACCTTACTTAACCAAGAACCATGAAAGAGATATAGCATACAATATGGTATGCACATAATTTGTAGTTGAAAAGAAATCTTGTGATGCCATAGGAAGTAATCCACATATGATAGACCAGAAAGTTTACAATTTCCATAATTTGCTATTGAACATATTGTACATATTTGAAAATGATGGAGAACTCATTCACTAAACATTAAATCAGCAATGAAAGCAACGGAGCCATATTCCGATTTCTAGTGTTCGGTTGTCTGACACAGATGGAATTATAAAGACACCAAT